TACAAGTGAATCTTTTCCTTCTACAAGTGAATCTTTTCCTTCTACAACTGAATCTTTTGACTCTACAACTGAAGAAATCACTACAGAAATAACCACAACTTTAGCTCCAGAAGTCGATCGCGAATGGGAAGATCTTATCTTAGGTGGACCTACAGTAGTCAATTATCTTGGCCTATTTATGGTACATGCATCACGTGCAGATCAAGTTTTAACACCATCCGATACCTACACAATTAAATATATTAATAATGTTCAATCTTTACATGCAACACTTTTTCAAATTTCATCAGCTATGCAAATTGCGTTGCAAGGAGCACGTGATGATCTTATTCGTACTCGAAATAGTATGGATCAAATTCCAGAACATATCAAAGCAGGTCTTCTTTTGATCAAAACAGCACCAAAGGATCTTCTTAGTCAATTATTATCATATATATTACGTAATATCGAGCGTGCTGCTAAAGAAGGATCAGTTGCTACTAAACGAGCACTCGAGCGCTTTGTTTCAGTAGGATTGCTAGTGGAAGAACTTGCCATATTGCTTACTTCTACACTATCATCATCACCGAAAAATCTTGATTGTTTAGTAGAAGCAAATGTTTATGCCAATGATATAAAAATACAATGGAATCTTTTAGTAAAACTTTTCAGAAAATTTTCAGAACGTGCTAATATCACTCAAACAACTCTTCGTAATAGTTTTATAGAACCTATTGATCAAGCACAGAAAACAAATGGCTTCGGTTCTCAAAGCGACCGCCTTACTTTCCTTGACAAACTTATTCCAGCTGCAATTACTATTGATCAGTCATCTTATTTATTAAATATGATGGCACGTACATACTCTGATGTATCAAATGATTACATGATTAACCAAATTACTTCAAATGAAGATTATCTTGATCTTGTAATAGAATCACTACGAACAACAAGTCAACGACAATTATGGCAAAAACTAGTATCACAATCGGTAAAAGTTGTTCGACTTGCCCAAGAACGTCACAACCAATTTTCTGGAACAAGTTCAATTCGACAAGCTAACTATACTACTTATTTAAAAGCTGTTCTTGCTCTTTAAAATTAAAAAAAAACATACACTGAAACAATTTATTCATTTTATTCAATAAATTTTCTGAATGTTAATGTTGAATCTATAAAAGATTGATAAAAAAAGCTTGTCAATGCAGTCTCATAAAGGGTTAAAGTGTGGAATTCATAAACTTTGACTATTATAAATTTATGACATAAATTTATCCAACAACAATCGGATCTGATACCATCAAAGTTTTCGATGCTTCATCGATTTCTGATTGATGTTTGAATTGATTGTCAGAAAGTGAATCGAAAACACTTGCATCAATATGTGACAATATATGTGAGTGAATTGCAACTTTTTGGTACGATTGGTGAGAAAAAACTGAAAGTCAACCTAAACAACTTTTGAGCAGTGCATTTTATTATACTCTGTGCCTATATTACATAGCAAAAGTTTTTCAACACTTTACCACATATTAGCCGAGATACGACTTACTTCCATGTAAATGTATCGTAAAAAATGTTATTTTATTGAAAAATGTCCTTTTACATTTCATCATATAATATAAATATCTCGACAACAATAAGAGATAGAGAGCTGAAATTTTTACTGGTTATGTAACTCTGAGAAGTATATCTAAAGTAAAAATTTACGCGAAAACAAACTAGCTTTTCACGAGTTATTCGCGAAGTAATTTTCAAAAAGTCGATCTACATTTTGTCGTACAACGTAATTATCTCGAGAACAATAGGAGCTAGACAGCTAAAACTTTGATTACTTATGTAACTCTGAGATCTATATTTGTGATAAAAATTTGAGCAGAAACGGATGAACCATTCAAACATTATTAACAAACAAAGTTCTAAAAAGTCGATCTACAAAGTAAGTCAAAACCCACACTCTTAAGCAATAATCTGTGTTTTTCACTATAAAGGAAAGTTATTCAGAAAATATTTTTTTACAATTTTGTTTGTATTTCCATGGCCTCTCTATTGCGCACTTTCGTTTTCTTTCAGCTTTCACACAGGCCGAGAAAATGTAAAGAGAAGGTCAATCTACATGAAAATGGCAGTGTCTGTAATGAAGTATGTAGAGTTGACGGATATAGAAAGGAAGAGAAAAAAATATAAGCTATATACCATTTGATAGAGCTTTGTAGAGAGCTACAAAACGGACTATTCAATATATTTTTTTCTCTGTTCTTTTATACTCAAAGAATCTTCTTCTATGAGCATATCTCCATGAAAAATACGATTTTTTCATAGTGCAAGAGTCATTACTCCCCGACTATATGAGTTAGAGAGCTGAAATTTTGTATGGCAGTGAGGAGCTTAGAAACTAATAATATATGAAAAAATTATTCAAAAAACATAGCTAAAATTCAATCGTATCAAAAAGTTGAAATTCACTCATCTATAAAAAGGTGTCTTTATAAATAGTCAGATACAAGGTAGTTATTTCTTAAGAAAAGCTATTAGCGAAATTTCTACGGGATTAAAATGTGAAATACAATGTAGCTGCTCCTGTTGATCATAATGAGATTGCTTTATTGTATCTTTTTTGGGACACATGTCTTCACTATCTTTTTAGTTAATCCATTAGAAATTGTATTAAGAAGTACTTCATATATGATAATGAGACGTTCTTGATGAAAAGTGTTTGATCGTATATCAACAACGTCTACCACGGTCTGTTGGTAGGCTGCAAATTTTTACCCCTATACTTCACTACTGCTTTTAGATCGCATTTCACAAAATGTACACTTATTACGAGTAGCAGCATCATCATCATTAAGTAAATATTTGAAAAATTTGTTATCGTTCATCTTTGGACTAGAGACGATATCTTTTGTGTTTAGATGTGATATTGTTTCAATATGAGGATTCAGACAAAGGATCATCCAATGGATCAATGAATAGAATATGTATAAGCGGTCGAGGAAAGGCTGAAGTCATCATCAAGAATTTCATAATAAGCATACATAAATAAACTAACAATAACATTCAAGGACAACGTTTTTAAATAAAAGTGTCCACTTGAATTCATGTTTATTAATTCTAATATTGGCAATTCAGACTTATTACATTTTTGTCCTCAAAAAGTTTTGCACTTCTTATAGTTGTATATAGTCGATTGATAAAAGAACAGCGGTGATAAGTAACTGTTATTCTCATCAATCAAGGAATATATATTTTTCGCTGAAATTCTATCGTATTCAGAAATTACAGATTCTTATCAAATAGCAGCACATTCAACGAATAAAGCCATTATGAGAACATGATCAATGAGTGGGTAATCAATGGGAATAATCCTGTTGCTTATGCACCTGTAGTTGTTCTTATCATATTATATTAACGACTCAGTATATAAAACGTTATAACAAAAACAAGTTTTTCGTTAGGTTATACTTTTTGCGAAAATAATATTGTGAGAGTTAACATAAGAATATAAGGCGATAAGTAATCATATTGATAGTCAGATATCCTCATTTGCGCTGATCCGATTTCATAAAATTATTATTTAGAGAATAGAATAGTCTATTTTTCTTTGTCTAGATCATTGTGTACGAATTGACCAGTGCTGTTAAAGATGTCCAGGCGCATTATTTATTAATTGATCCGAATGATCGAGAATTCTTTTGTCGAAATTCTAAGCATAACATGTCAAGAAATAGAACGAAATGCTCATTTATTCTATGTGATGATCAAAACTTATTATGATATTTCGTCTGAATATATTATTAATTAGATTGTTAATATGAAGACATTACTTCTTCTACAAACGGATACTGTATGATTATCGCATTTACGTTTACTTTCTTCAAATATTACCTCAATATCAAGATGAATTATACAATTAGTTCAAGAACGACAAAATGAAGATAGTTTATGTAACAAAGCATGTCGTGAAGAATATAAACAATTTTTAGCTAAAGTGGTTGAAGAAGATTTGGACGTTTTGATTGGTCAAAATGATTTTGAATATTATTCCATTATTAATAATAAATATTTAGTATGTACGTATATTGTAATGAATTATTCGATTCTTAAAGTTAAGATAGATTTTAATTGTAAAATCATCAACAATAAATCATTTTTGATTTCTCATAAAACTATATCCTACGGAACATTTTCTCTGTTGAATTAGAAGTTGCCATGGCTGAGTGATGACGTTGTCCAACATATAACCTTTAAGGCTCTATATTGGAACCTCGGCATCATCAGTCATGGAATTAGAGACATGCAAGATAAGTTTTTTTCGTACCCCTTGTACCCTGACTGAGAAAAATTTTCTAACCTTTACCCTACTGTATCCTGTAGGATAGAGTAATCCTGCGCATCTCTAAGCTACCCCTAATAATAGTTGCAGGAAAGATATTAGACTAACAAAACTATCTTCAAGCAGTATCCTATATCGCAAAATAGCCAAAAGGTAGGGTATGCTGCTTTTCTTCTTCGTGTTGAATTAGTTGAATGATTTAATATTCATCACATCGTTTTCATTTAACGATATTCAGTCTATGATAAATTTCAATCATATTCAATATCATATAACCTGAGTGTCATATTTCGAATCTTTGATGACAAATGAGGCTTTAGCGTTCGGCGATATTTTATTAATTGTTCTATTTCTTTTTGGACAAATTCGATGATTTTGAGAGCAATACAAATGTACTTTCAATAAAAATATTTAATTCGAGATGGAATATAACGAAGAAGATAAAACTTTGTCTCGATAAGAAGCAATAATTTTTCTTTGTATCTAATTATGTCTTCATTTGAAAATTTAAAGTTTAATAGTAATAGAAAATAACGAAATATTACAAAGTATTTTCTATCCATATCAATGATTGTAATGTTTCTTTATTTCGATTTCTAATTAAGTTTCATAAAAAATTGAATGATGATATCTATTGAAGAATAATCAATCGCATCATGTAGAAGAATATATTGAGCTTTTTTTTTACAATTGATTTCTAATTTTTTTAAAATAAATGGCCCTCCAAATAAGTCTATCGTTGTTTTCGAATGATTGCATAATTCATAGAATAAAGGTATCTTGACTTTTATGAATATGTCTAAATTCGTCTATATTTATTTAATAAAATCATCAATAACAGGAACTCTTATATGTTTTTGTTTAATAAAATTTGTATCTCAATTGTTATATATCAGTTTAAGAAATCTAAAAATTATCTATATTTATCTATTCGAACTTATCAATTCGATGATACACTCTAGACAGTATAGATTTTACCATTGAATATACTAGTGTTGAATTGTAATTGATCTTGGTTTTAAAAAAGAATTTTTTATCAAATAAATAAATGATAGTGAATTTACAGTTTCATTTGCAATGATTGATTTTTTTCGGCGAAAACTAATATTCTCATGAAAACGATGATTAAGACACTAAATATAATATCCCGTTGAATGACAACCTAAGTCTTTAGAACAGCAAATCCTTCAATAATAAAAAAATAAATACACAGATGCTTCTATTAGTATAGGTTATATATACAGATGCCATTCTTGTTTCAAAACATTTCATTGATTTCAATAACAATTAACTATCGACAACAAATCCCTGAATCTTTTAATAAGTGTGTAATAACTTTTGAAGAGCAATTATGAGTATGTTGACATTTATTCTCAATGATTTGAAATAAATAAATTTCTTTAATAGATATATTAATCATCTTTCTAACAATTACAATATTGTTGATCAGCAAAACTTATTCTGCGCCTATTGATGCAACTGAATCTTTTGATTATCCAATCGAAGAAATCACTACAGAACCAACAACAACGGCCAGCACCACCAGCACCACCACCACCACCACAACAACAACAACAACGACAACAACAACAACAACAACAACCACAACAACTTTAGCTCCGGAAGTCGATCGCGAATGGGAAGATCTTATCTTAGGTGGACCTACAGTAGTCAATTATCTTGGCTTATTTATGGTACATGCATCAGGTGCAGATCAAGTTTTAACACCATCCGATACCTACACAATTAAATATATTCATAATGTTCAATCACTACGTGCGACACTTTCTCAAGTTTTATCAGCTATGCAAATTGCGTTTCAAGGAGCACGTGATGATCTTATTCGTACTCGAAATAGTATGAATCAAATTCCAGAACATATCAAAGCAGGCCTTCTTTTGATTCAAACAGCACCAAAGGACCTTCTTAGTAAGTTACTGCCATATACATTACGTAATGTCGAGCGGGCTGCTAATGAAGGATCGGAAATTAGTAAACCAACACTCGAGCGCTTTGTTTCAGCAGGATTGCTAGTGGAAGAACTTGCCACATTGATTGCTTCTACAGTATCATCATCACCGGAAAATTCTGATTATTTAATGGAAGCAAATGCTTATGCCAATGATATAAAAATACAATGGGATCTTTTGGTAAAACTTTTCAGAAAATTTTCAGAACGTGCTGATATGACTCAAACAACTATTAGTAATAGTTTTATAGAACCTATTGATCAAGTACCAAAAAATAATGGCTTCACTTCTCAAAGCGATCGCCGTACTCTCCTTGAAAAACTTATTCCAGCTGCAATTGCTATTGATCAATCATCTTATTTTTTAGATATGATGGTACACGCATACACTGATGTATCAAATGATTACATTATCAATCGCATTGCTGCAACTAAAGATTATCTTGTCATTCCATCAGATCCACTACGAAAAATGAGTCAACGACAATTGTGGCAAAATATAGTATCACAATCGGTGACAATTGCTCGACTTGCCCAAGATCGTCAAAATCAATTTGCTGAAACAACTCTAAATCGACATACTGAATATACTGCTTATTCAGAAGGTGTTCTTGCTGATTAAAGTAGAAAACAAAATCATTTATTGAAACGATGTATCCGATTTTCATTTATTGAAACGATGTATCCGATTTATTCAATAAAATTTCTGCATGCTAGTTTTGAATCTATAAAAGATTGATAAAGAATATCCATATTGTAGATATAATATAAATATTGATTTAAGTTGCTGATTATTAAGAATGTGGAGTTTTTTTAGTAAGTATAGTGATCATGTTTTACGATTGAAGTAATAAATTTCAACTTAGTTTCAATCATATGGCTTATAGTCAATTATGAACGATTTATAGTGGCTAGTTCAATGATTAAAGAATTTTCTATCGATTCTATGATAAACTACGAAAAAGGTAATCTCTATTTGTCTGATCGAAGAAAAGATTGTGAGCGCAGATCCATTGGAGCTAAAATGTGGAACTCATATGTGTTCTTTAGCTTAATTATACTAATACAAAATACGTAAAGTGAAGAATCTCTAGCAGACTTGAATTGTTTTTCAAGGGTAATTGAGTGCTAGATAAACGATCCATCTTGTTTATTTCTGCATTTCGAACAGAAAATTTTTCTTTTATAGTAGCGCTCTTTCTTTGTTTGCTTTGTTGGTTTTTGCCCGTTATTTTTCTTTTTTTGTATTCCATCTTTTTAATTTAACATTATTATTATTCTAACCATTCATTTAAGTGACAAATAAGCCTTTTATACGAATTCTATATATATATATATATATATGTACCAGAGGTCGAAAACGAACCGATCCGAACCGAACTATAACGGTTCGGTTCGGTTCGAATCGATCCGAACCGAACTCGAACCGACTTTTTGGAAATAAAGTCGAACCGAACCGAACCCGAACTGACTTTTAAAAAATGGAGTCGAACCGAACCGAACTCAAACCACTTTTTCAAAAATGAAGACGAACCGAACCGAACCTAAAGTTTTGAAAAAAGAACAGTTGATGACAGTTTAATGTTAGATCACCATAAAGTAATTAAACTATCATTGATTTAGAAAAGTATAATGCCGTGGACAAAGATAAAAACGAACATTTATCAATTGTTTTACGTGGTTAATTTAATATCCGTATATTGCAGTCTCTTTTTTTCTCTCAGTTTTATAGTTACACAAATTGTGTTTATGATGATAAATCGCTTCTACGTGCCATAATTATTTGATTTTTCTTTTATAAATTTCTCCATTGTTCTAAAGTGCGATGAATAATCGTCCGTAATGGTATGAGATTAGTATTAGCACTAAAGCATCTATGATTCTTGTATATCAATGTTAACATATAATTTTAATCTACAAATGTATCTATTAGTAGTAATTGATACAAATATGAACCCTCATGTGACATTTTTGATCATCGGACCACTAAGTTTTGACTTCTGGTCTAGTCTTGATTAAATGATAGTAATACTACTCCAGTCGAGCCGCAACCGAACTGATTTTTTTAAAGACGAGCCGAACCGAACCGAACTCGAACCACTTGCTCGAAAAGTAGATCGAACCGAACCGAACCCGAACTCGTTTTTGAAAAATGAATCCGAACCGAACCGAACTCGAACCGTGTTTTCAAAAATAAGCTCGAACCGAACCGAACTCGAACCTATTTTTCAAATGTGAATCCGAACCGAACCGAACCCGATCTAGAAAAACTCGGTTCGATTCGACCTCTGATATGTACAGCAGATCTCAATACGTTGTTATATATCTTGATAAGTTTAGTAACACTGATATTGATTTCTTTCTAAAGTTATAACTTGATCAGTTCTAGTTTTTGTATGTTAATCATATGACAACTGTGACAAATTAATGCATGACTACCTATTATTCTTGGCATCTTAAATGTAAATTTTCATCTGTGCAAAAATTTAAAAAAAAGACTGCACTATTTAGAACATTCGCAAACATGTTTCAGCGAGTCATATCTTCAGGAAGACTTTGAAATGTTCTAGAATAGTCTAAGTCTTATTGTTCTTGGCATTCAGCACCTTTTTCCATCGTTAATGAACTCTGAGATAAGAGTCTGTGACCTAAAACTTACACTCGCTATTTTCTTCGACAATATATGTGAATTTCATAAAATATTAGAATAATTTCTATCGAACTGCTCAATTTAACATATATCATTTTTAGCATTGGTTTCAAGGAATACAGGTGAATATAAGGTTGATACTGGACATTTAATTGATGAATGGCAAGATTGGATCCTTGCTAATATTATTTCTGTCAATTATTTAAATAGTTTAATGGTACTTGCTTCCAGACAAGATTTTAATTTTTCTATACCAACTGGTTATTCCGTTAAATATGTGCAAAATATAGGATCTTTCCGTCAAACAACTGCGCAATTAGCTACAGATATGCGTAGTTCTTTGAGTAGTGCTCGTGAAGATTTGAATCGTGTACATACAGGTATGGAACGTGTACCTGATCATTTAAAAAACATGGTTTTATTAATAAAACACGCACCATTTGATTTACTTTTAATGTTATTTCCTGATTCATTTAATAATATAGAGAAATTAGTGAATGATAGTTTAATTGTACTTAGAAAACCAGAAAAAAATTTTGAAAAAGTACTAAATCTTCTTACTGAAATAGATTATTTATTAAATAATACATCAAATGATATAATGATTTATTTACAAGTATTTGATGTTAAAACTCAATGGACACATTTAACTGAACTTGTTACTGAATTAGCAAAACAAGCAGAACGAACACGTGAAAGTTTTTTACTTCAATTTAATTGGATTTTAAAAGAATTTATTCGACCTGATCTTACATTTGCTGAAACTCATCGTGATTTTATTATTTTATTACTTCTACCAAAAATAGTTGAAATTGATCAAACAAGTGATATTCTTGGTATTATTACTAAAACTTATACAGATATATCATTTCAATTTACAGATGAACAAATAGGTGGTTATACACATTTACTTCTTTTATCAAAAGAAGAAGATCGTCAACGATATTTAAAACAATTTCAATATGATTTAGTACCACAAGTTGTTCAAAGTGCACGACTTGCATTGAATCGACATAATGAATTTCTTCAACGTGATAGAAATCGACGAGAAATCTATGAAAAATTTTTAACTGAAACATCATATAATGATTTAATAAGTCTAATTGGTTGAATAAAAGAAAAAAAATAAGATTGATAGTTTTTATTTTATTTTTTTATTATTCATTTGATAAAATAGTTGTGTCACGAAGGTATCCATTTTCAATTATTGTTTTATCGCCGAAAAAGTAAATCAAATAATTATTTTAGTCTATCAATTATTTTCGATCCTCAAGTATCATTGATACTTAAGCTTTTTTTTATACTTTCTAATTCAATAGCAATTAAATACGTTTCATTTATATTGCGAAGAAACTGTAAATATATCACAATACACTGTCGAGAGCAGAACGAATGAGTAAGCATCTATAATATTTTCAAAGTTATTATTTTTATTTAGCAAGTTAAATTTAATTTATCATCAGATATTGCTATCAAGATTTTGGTGTTTTCTCTTTGGTTATTTGACATCGTTAATTCAGGAACAGTAGACAATAGTTTAGCAGAAGAATCAATTTTAAATATAAAATCAAGTACGATCAACTTCTTTTTGTTCAATTTTACTCTAACTTAAAAATAATATATTTTTGTCATTTATAATATACACTTTAAATTTAGAAATTCTTCTTAATCGAAATTCAGTTGAAAAAAAACCTGATGACCATATTTTGGTTGAACAATGGCAAGATTATGTTTTAGCTAATGCAATTCTTGCTAATTATCTGAATATTTTAATGGTTCATGCGTCAAAATCAGATTTTTCTCTTCTAAAAGAATCTAATGACTGTACGACATATATTAAAAATCCTAATTCTTTTCGTCAAACAATTTCTCAATTGAGTGACAATATTCGACATATTCTTTTAGATTTATATAAAGATTTAAATCATATTCAAATTGGTCTAGAACGTTTTCCTATTCATTTAAAAACTATTCTTCTCCTAATTAAAAAAGGAAATAATGATACCATTAGTATTTATCTACCTAAATTACTTAAAAAAGGTGAAAATATAGTTAATGAAAGTTTATTCATACTTAAAAATCCTAAAATAAAAATTGAACAAGTTAAAGATCTACTTATTGAATTAAATTCTTTAATATCGAATGTAACACCTGATATTAGTTTTACTTTACAAATAGAAGATGTTAAAACTCAATGGACTCTATTTCATGATTTATTTACTCAATTATCAATTCAAGCTGAAAATGCTATTAATGATTTTCTTCTTCAATTCAATTGGATATTAGAACAATTCATTCAACTTAATATTAATAATTATCGTGATTTAATAATTAATTTACTTAAATTAAAAGTTATTGAAATTGAACGTACAATTGATCTTCTTACAATAATATCTCAAACATATGTCGATATATCATTAGAATATGCAAATGAAAAAATAATTAGTAATACACATTTAATTTCTATATCAGATGAACAAGAACGAAAAGAAATTATTAAACAATATCGATATGAATTACAACCTATAGCAGTTAAATTTGCACGACTTGCATTAACAAGACATAATGAATTTCTTCAACGTATTCAAAATCGAGAAAGAATTTACGAAGATTTTTTAAATGAAATGTCTGAAAATGATTTAAATCTTTTATTAACAATAAATTAAATATTTTCAAACTAAATTCTATATCATTAAAAATTACTGTTCTATATTTTCTTTCTTCTATTATTAACAGTAATAAATGAGCAGAGACATACGAAATATTATTTTAAAGAAAATAAACATCACATCATTTACAATAACATCTGTACATATTTTTTAGTTTTTGAGAAATCGAATCACATGACTCTGATTGTAGTCATATACACATTCCAACAATGATTCTAAGAGAATGTATAAGAAAAAAAATAAGAAAAGAGATAAATATTTTTTGAAATGTGCTTATATCACATAGGATATTAGTAGCTCAAAACGAGTTATATCATGCAGTATCAAAGACAGACAGACAATGCATCAATGATAGTAAGAGAAAATGGTGAAAGTTATCTATTATCATTATCATTAGATACAAATTTAAAAATTTATCGTTTGCGAAATATTATTTGTATTCTTTTATTTATTCAATTAGTGAGTTTATTGATTTTCTTGATGTTGATCATAACACATTGGAATGTTTAGATTTTATGTATAATTCTTTTTATGATTGATATTCGTCTTTTAATTAAAGATAAAGATGATAATTATCAACCAGGAATACGTTCTCTAGGACCAATATTTTTATCTATTGTCTATTATGGATATGGTTTGATCGTTGTATATCAATATCATCATTTGGGAATATATGTTGTACGAATTCTTTTTATTTTCGTTTATTTTAATATTAAATATATGATTTCGATTCATAGTTTGCTTGGTTGAGTTTTTTACAATATATATTTTTATGTGTAGAAATTTTTTCAACTATTCTCGTTATGATAAAACATCCATCACCTGATAAACAAATGGAAATTGCTTTTCTTATTAATTTAAGCATTACAATGATATCTATATTTCAAGCAATATTAATGGTAAATTTCTATTGTCTGTTTATCTCATTAAATATTATAATAATGGATGAGCCATAAATAATTACATTCTAAGTATTTTCAAAAACTCTTCTCTATTTTTCGTTTAATTGAAATATCTTTCTTTCATTAAAAAATAGCGCTTGAAATTCTAAACAAAGTAGTATACTTGATTTTCTTCTATATATATCTCGAGACCAAATGTAATTGTACAGTAAAATCAAGTACAGAATGTATATTTTTTTCTTTTTCAACTTGTTTTTTTTTGATAGAACATATTATTTCGTCTATTAATATTGTATTTGTTTTTATGGAGTCCCAATTCATAATTTCAATCAGTTCATTCCATAAGCTATAATCTATTGAATTGAAATCAAGCAGATTTGATGACTAATATTTCCTTAATAGGAGTGTACGAAAATAGTTTGTACACTAGTTTTTTTGACTGAAACAATGCTAGTGAACTTTAAAAGCATTCTGCTAACATGTAGTTTACAAGATTAGCCTGCTCTTTTTTTGTACAGATCAGTCAATATTAACTTTTTGACATTCTATTATGGAAAGTAACTAAGATCTTCATGCAGTAGCAGTCTTATTCGTCTTATTTCAACAGATAGTTTTCTTGTTGACATCCGTTTCTTGATAAATACGTCCTGTTTTCACCTTCGAGACATTCACTTTTGTTCGAACTGTTTGTGGATGACTGAAATGATGAAATCAATTGATTAAGCCAGTGCTGTTGATCATTTTTAGCCATGAAGTAATTGTGTGCGCTTTGAAATCATTCCTACCGAATGAAAATAAATTTTTGCTGATCCGTCACCATTTCCATGCCTTTTCATATATTTTCCGATATATTTATAATAATTTTTAGATTGTATCATATATCAATTTGTAGAGAATTTCAAGCATTATCTTTTTATAAAAGAAAAGGTGTTGTCATGAAGCGAAAAATACATAGAAGAAATTTTGAAAATACAAAGAATGTAATTATTTATGATTCACTCATTATATTATTTTTCTTTTAGTGTATTACATTTAAACTTACGTTCAAATTGTTCCATTTGATTCAAATTTTTAAACGTGATGTTCTCGAACAAATGTAATCTTCTTTTTTTAATTTTTTAAATAAATTTCATACATAATTGTATGGTAATATTTCAAAGAGGAATCTGTTAATGATTCTTTTCATTATGTTTATTAAAATAAAAAACAATTATCTAAATAATAGTATAGATATCTTAAAAATCAAAAACTATCAAATTAAATTATAAGAAAATTTTTATTATTTATTTTTAATATAAACAATTTTCTTATTTTGTTTGCTTATATTCAATTTTAGCCGTATTTAAATCAAGTTCTTGTACAAGTTTCAAAATATTACTAACAATAATCATATCTAATGTTGGCTTACGTGATATAATATGTACACAATAACTTATTATACCAAATTGACGAATACAATCATATTCAAAACTATGATCATCTGTTTTCAAAATAATAACATTATAAACTGCAGGTGGTAGAACAAGTAAAAATGATGTATTATATCAACCATTGGAAGGATTTATTGAATTGGTTTATGCTTGTTTCGAAACAATTAATTTACCATCAGATGAATCTTTATTACAAATATTTGATACATTAACTATAGTAGGATTGACATCAATATGTGTACAAACACAATTTTTTTTCTTTGAGAAAAGCTCCACCTGATATTTGTATTTTACCAATTTCAAACCATCGACCAGAATACTATTAAAAAATTTAAATGAAAATAACAAGAACGTCAACCTTTTTAAAAGTATAATTAGCAGCTAATGGTGATATTCTACATGATGGATCTGGTCATGAATGAACAAATTCAATAAAAATTATTGTTAGTAGAAACTTTCAGCTTACCTCTTATATTTACCAATGAATCTTTCAAGAATAAAAGTTTGATCTATTGAAACATTTTCTTTGAGATTGATGAAAACAAAAAAAAACATCCGAATTCGTTTCGACTTGTAAAAATGATCTAAACGCGCCGTTACTATGTTTACTATAAATATAATTTCTATTAAATAAAAGTATTTAAAAAAAAATCTCCAATGTCATCATTAATTCCAATTGGAACATTTGTATTAGCTAAATGGCCATCAACATCAAATTATTATAAAGCCCGTATAATCGATTATACTGATGATAATAATTATGTTTGTCAATTTTTGGATGAAAGTATTGTTGCTTTACCATCGAAATATGTTGATTTACCAGAAAAATTTCAACGTACAACAAAACTTACTCATACGCATAATGAACAAATATTTGTTGATCGTTCTTTAACATTTAATTCCATGATCATTTCTCTTGGTTGGATAATTATATTTTTATATATCCAACATAGTTTTTATCATAATCCTGACCTCTATGGATCATCAACTGGATTATCAAATCGTACTCTATTTCAACAATATCCTATGATTGTTATTCAATATCTTCTATTATGGTTTATATTACAATTAATTTTTGCTCGATATTTTCCACATCTTGGTAGAGAACAACTTATTTATATAAAAGAATCTCATCCAAGTATTTATTATAAACATCGTTCAAATAGTTTATTGGCATTTATAATTACTTGTTTGTTAATGTTTCTTTTTCGAGAGAAAATTCCTTTAAGAGAACTAACAAAATCATATTATTTATTAGCTTTATTCAGTCTTGGTATTGCACTTACATTTAGTCTTATTTTATTAACAAATAAACTTTTTTCTCGTTATTGTTCAATATCTATCAATGAGTGAGTATGTAATTTTACATTTAATTTAAATATAATAATTTAATGATAGGATTAATTATAATAAAAAACAAATTCAATTTGATTTTCATTTATTTCTTTCAATTCGTCCAGGAATTATTCTTTGGCCAGTACTTAATCTTCTTTTATTCTTAACTATTATCAAATATAATCGTCAAATATCAATACGTTTTGCACTTTCAATTCTTCTTCAAACTATCTATATTATTAATGTATTTATTAATGAAACTTCAATGATACGTCAAGCATTAGATATTTCACCTCCATCATCGTTCGATGCAATTTTTACTAATCTTTGTTGGGTACCTTTCATGGCAACACTTACTTCAGTATGTTCGATTTTTATACAACTTTCCTACACACACAGAATAGTAGTCCACTAGGCTTCTAATTTGTTTTGCAAGTCAAATTTTTTTTTGTGCTGTAGCTATGATTTGATTCGCATACAAGCACAAAAGTGCACAAGATTCGATAAATTGAAGTTTTCAAACTATGTGAGAACTTTAATATGCGCTATGATAGTTACCGACAAATCAAAACTTGACTTTTCCTTGTTATCATATAACTTGAGTAATGTGCTCATTACACTACTTTTCTTATTCACACGTTCATCTATCATCAGCATGTCGTGGATCTTAACATGGATACGTTAAACTGCGTCAATTGGACTATTTTATTTTGAGAAATTATCGAGCTTTGAACGAGTTGAGAAAAAACTTCTATACCGTTCTGCCAGGTGACGTCATCTTAGAAGTTTATGTACAGTTCAGAAACGTAAAGAGATATATTTCAATTATCTTAAAAGAAGTATAAAGGAAACCTTTTATTACCAAATGAGGCCTTCTCTTTTTTATGAAATAGGGAGTTTAGATCTTATGAGTGTTTCAATGATGGACATCATACTCATGTCATACTGGCACGTGTTTTTGAGTTCGAAAACTTCTTGGATAATTTCAACCAACTATCGTTCAGTTTTGTGAGAATGCTCATTTTTACAGTTAAAGACTTGTCCATATTTCTGTAGAACAAAGCAGTTACAACTCAACAACGAGAAGCGATGAACTAATCTATTCGATGCTTGAGATTATTATTTTGTGATCGTTCGGATAGAGTGAACTTCTATTACATTTGGAAGATTATAAGCTTAAGATTGGACTTCTATTCTTTAGAGAGTTTATAGAATATTATAAAAACTAACGTTTTTTTTATAAAATAATGATTAAAAAAAAACCATGTTTTTGATTATAGTTTTATATTGGAAGGAGTCATCGATCGGTTCATACTTATATTCTTTTTCTGGCTGTTATACTCTTTATCTTTGGTTTCTTAATACAATATCTTGCTATGCGTCAACGCACGTAAGTGAACTTTTCAAAATATTTTATATATATATTCATAAAAGAAACCCACTTTATTAATAAGATATTTCCATTGACTTTTAGTGCATTTCAAACAATGAATAATACCAATCTAGTTGATTCTGTCATGGTAAATAATACTCAACGAATACTAACAAGTGGTTGTTGGCGATGGTGTCGTCATCCTCATTTATTAGCTGAAATATTTATGGTCATCGGTTGGTCACTACCAGCTGGTACAAATCATTTAGCACCATGGCTTTATACATTCTATATCATCGGCATGGCTATATATAAAGCACATTATTTTGATCGAGCACTTCAAAATACATGTACAGAAGGTGCTTATGAACATTATATTACACATGTGAAATATACACTTATTCCATTTGTCTATTAAATAAAATTCTATTATATATATATATTAAAACTAATATAAAACAATTAAATAAAACTAAAGGAGAAAAAAAAGCAGGAAGAAATTTTTTTTTTGAGAAATAAATAAATAATATTGCTTTAATCATCTTCTTTGCCGCGTTTTATTTGTTTAGTGAATGCAGTATAATCGAGAAGACCTTTTGTATCAACTGGTGCACCTTCAAGCATTTGCTTGAACTATTACAAAAAAAAAATTCATTAATAGATGGATTCGTGTTTTTTTGTTGTTTCATTACCTCCACATCGGTTAGCCTTTCATTAGGTTTTCCCATAGAAGTTAATAATTCTTGAAGACTAAAAATAAATAAATTCTCTTGATTAAAAAATAAAATGAATTTAGGCATGATTTACTTGTTTCGATAAAGAACACCTTTTGTATCTTCATCGAATGTTTTGAAAGCACTCATTAAAATGTCTTCAGCATCAGTACCTAAGATACAAACGAAAAAAAAAAAAGATTATTGATTAAATCATTTTCTTTGTTTTTTTTTCTGATAAATTCAAACCGTTAAGTCGATCACCAAAAAGTGTTAATAATTTTGTAAAATTTACCGATCCACCAGTTTCTTCAAGCATTCCTTTAAGATCAGATTCTTTTGGTGTTTTACCTAAAGATGAATAAACTTCTTTAAGATCATCCAATGAAATAGATCCATCTCGATCTTGATCCATTAAACCAAATGCTTCTTTAAATTCTTGTACTTGTTTTTGTTCAAACATAGTAAAAACATTACTAGTAGCTCGTTGAGCAGCTTTTTTTGCTCTTTTCTAAAAAATTCAATTTAATAAATAAAAAACAAAAATATATATATGTATATGAGAATAAAACTTACATCAGCCATCCGATGTGAATATTATTCTATATTAGGAAGACGAGTGTTATTCTCTTAATGTATATTGTGACTATTTAGTATAAAGGAAAAAAGAAATAAGAAGGATATAAATAATAAGAAAAGAGAAAACCTTGGATATATTTCATGATGGGAAAGATCACTATATCGTAATCATCAATGTTGATTTTCGGCATGGTGATACATAGATAATACAGAAAAGAAAAAAAAGAATCGAAGAAAAGGTGACTGACAGACTGATTGTCCTATCTTATTATCGTGATCATACGTATCCTGTGGAGAAAATTATCTCTCTCCTTACGTCAATTGTACATGATCGGCAAACATCTGCCTTTATCTAACCGACAAGTAGTGTAATCTAAAAACAAAAAAGAAAAAGCTAACAAGAATAGTACTATTGGAAGAGAAAAATTATACTATTTAATGATATGTCATTTTATCAACAAGATGGTTGATTCATTGATGAAAATAAGCTACTGCACGTTTTTAATATAATTTTGGAAGCATTGTTTTTTTCACAATGTAATTTTTCTTTATATGGACAAAATCATGGTAATACATCAAATTTTAGTATTTAAAACATTTACAATAAAGTAAACGAAAGGTACTGTTCAGTGTCTTCTTCTTTACGAGCTATTTTTCGATTTTTCTCAGCAGAAAATGCCTAAAAATGAGTTAATGACGGCATTATAGTGAAGGCAGAGAATGGCTCAGTCTCTCTCCCTTGGAAAAATTTTTAAAGTTGTTGTTAATAGTAGTCCTACAATAGGGTAGAAAAGGGCTTAACTCACCCTGACCAAAGAATCCTGGTGCCGTCGGTGAAATGAACCAATACCACCTTTACTTTCACTTGAACATGCATTTTATGACTATAATCACTCCCATTTACTAAAACCCTAGATCCTTCATTGATCTGATGGGCGACTTTATAATGTCCGTCTTGTATAAATATAAATATTTATTCTTATTAAAGAAGAGAAAAAAAGTAGATATCTTCGTTCGTTCAATTATAGTAAAGGATAAAATAGTAGTTTCATTCAATACTCATATACTTTAATATACAACAGTTTAATTTTCAGCAAAACTATTGATCCAGCAAAAACAATCTTATTCTTTCACTCTAAAAATATAACCATATTTTGTTGTAGAATATTCATGATTCCGTTCTTTGCATAGATGTATTGTGAAAGTAACAGAAATTTTATCATGAATTATCCAGAATTCATCCCCCTAATAATTCCTACAAAGAATCAAAATTGAAAACAATGACTAGAAAAAATTTGCAAAAATTAAGAAGGATAACTTTCTTGGTATGAAAAATCAAGTAATCTAACTGTAATCAACCCATGAATTACTCTATATTCCTGATCAACTTCATCATTATCTCTATTAAAAATAGAAATATACAATGCTCGCGTAAAGATTATGATTAAAATTTTCAAGATTCAAAAGCTCTCGCATCGTATCGCACACAAATTATGTCACATTTTTCTTCACAATAGTGTTTATATGACCGAAGTCTTTGAAATATGGTTTATATTAATACATGAGTGGTAATCATCAATGTGCAGTGTTTTTCTCATTCTAACATGCATTGTATAACTTCATGCACATGATTGACAAAAAAGAGAAAGAAAGTAAAATAAATATACATAACATTTTCTTTTTGTGTAGTGTGTGAATATAGCTTGTGTGTACTCGTCGTCTCATGTAAGACGATACGTGCTTCGTTTTTCTGTATTCTTTATTATATGATAAGATTTTGACCTTGTCTATACTAGAAAATTTAATACTGCATTAACAAACTTCATTAGTCAAAAGTTTAATTCGTATTTAATGCACTTCCAAGAGACGAATTAAGTTTAATATACCAATCAAATTGATATTGTCAACAGTAATGAAAAAACGATAGAATGTGCTTCTATAGACACATGTGAAATAAAGTTAAAAACAAAAAAAGAATGATACTAGGAGTCACTCTTCTCTAATTTTTCACAATTCCGGTGAATGAGATACGGCCAATTCCGGTCGAAAATTTGGAGCTACTTGGAAGCAGGAATTTGATGATTGGATTTGTTTATGTCCGGCTGTAACTGTACAGAGTCAGTAACCGGATATGATCACCGAATTCCTGCTTCTAAGTTCCTACCATTTTCTAATCAGAAATGAGGTCTCTCCTGTAAGTTTCCACCGAAATTATTGGCCTCGGAAATAAAAAAAGTAATAGAGTCGAGGACAATTGAAATTACACCTTTTGATTTTTTTTGTTTTTTTTATTGCTATACATTTTTATCTATTAGCCTGCTATATATAGGGAGAGAGTTCAGAACTTGCTGCATCTTTTGATATATATTTACTTTGAACATTAAATGCAGTTTAAAATGTAAAAACTATATTAGAAAAAAAAATGATATTTGCTTTTATTATGGAGTTTTTATCATATTGTAACATTTTTTATGTCGTATATATCTCAGCTTAGATAAATGATAAAACTTTAAATTTTTTTTCAAAAGATGCACCATGAAAAGCGCTACAAAAGCTATATGATTGAATTCCTTTTTACTTATTTTGATGGTTTTTCTTATACTCAAAATGAGCAACTTTTATAGCAGTGTCACTTCCCATCATACTGAAAATATTGGAGGACTTTTTTTGTTCTGCATATATCTCGACTTGAGAAAATGATTGAATATTGAATTTGCTTTTAAAAGATGTGCTGCCGTACATCTTTAAAAAAAATTCAAACTTTTATCATTTATGTAAGCTGACATATGTGCGAAATAAAAAAAATGCTACAACCTTATGAACATCCAGGTTTGCAAAAGAAAAAGATGTCTTTTTTCTTCCAATACACTTTTTACATTTTAAACTGCATTTGATGTTCAAAGTAAATATATCAAAAGATGCACCACGTTCTGGGCTTTCTCCCTATATATAGTAAGTTAATACATAAAAACGTATAGTAATAAAAAGACAAAAAAATCAAAAAGGGTATAATTTCAATGTCTTCAACTGTATTTGCTTTTGCAAAAGTGTGTTGTATTTATGCATTTCGACTACATCATAGTGGCCCCATCTGACTTTTTATTGGTACATGTCGATTTAGTCTTAAACGAATGTTCTATTACTTTTCTAGTGTGGACAAGGTCTTTATCTCGTATTTGCACGTGTAGATAAAAGAAAATTACCCGTCACACAATATTCTCCAACTAATTGTTTGATACTTTTTTCTAACCAATAGAAGTAAAACAATAAAAAACATTTGATATTAACTAATTGATATATTATCTGATGTCGTTGGATAATCTCTGTGATCGTTATGAACGCGATGGTTTTGTTATCGTTCCTGATTTATTTGATAGCAAAGAGTGCGATAAACTTAAGATTGAAGCTCAAAACGTTTTAAAAGTAAAATCACCTCCTGACGCATCTGTTTATGTGCATGCATCAGTCACAAGTCCACTCTATCAACAATATCATAGAGATCCGCGTCTGGTGGATATTTTGAAAAAGATTATGCCGAATGGTGTTATGTTTTTAAGTGACAAGATTGTTGTTAAAACACCTGAAAAAACATTTGCAACACCTTGGCATATTGATTACTTCTATTGGCGTGATACACGTCCGAAAGTTTCGATTTGGATTCCTTTAGATGATGTAAACGCCGACAATGGTGCACTTACTGTAGTTCGTGGTAGTCACAAAAAAGATTGGACAATGATAAACAAAGCTCTACCAAATGGTGAATTTGTCTATCAAATAGCTAATGATGATGTCAATAACGATGATGTAGTTACATGTGCAGTCAAACGTGGTAGTGCAGTCTTCTTTCCTGATAGACTTGTGCATGGTTCCACACCAAATTCCGCGTGTAAAGATCGTTATACAGTCATAAGTACTTATCATGCACCTGCAGATGATGAAAAATTTGATCTTGATTTTCCTGCACGTGAAGTACTTGTTCCAACAAACTAAACTTTATTAACCATCAAATTCTGTGTATTACATAGGAGTGATTTACAAACGATTTTTGAATAAAAACATATGCATATATCCTTTAAATAAATGTTAATTATTAGTAGAAAAATATCATGCTCTTGACGAATAGAAAATTTGCTTCGTTTTCGATTATCTTATGTTTCCTTTCTACGTTCACGAGTGGAACTATCTTATGTATGATTTTGTACTATTTTTCATGTATTCTCACTCTTTTGATAACTCTGTATGATGTAGTTTTTCTTTTTTCTATCTCTTTACTGGACAGCAGTGAATCCCAGTATAAATAAAGCATATTATAAAAAAGAAAAAGAAAAATTGCTTCGAAACAATTCTTATTTTAAAAATACTTTTCAGATATCGAGTCTATTAGAAAAATTTCATTACAAACCAATGTGGAAAGCTATTTTTCTTTTGTAAGCTCTTCGCATTTCTAGATTTAAATAACTTATTGTTTCTTTTTATAGCACCTCTTCATTCTGAAAAGTTTTAAAACATAATAAATAACACATAACTTATTAACCGTATCATTCTTTTAATGTAGTTATATTTACTGTTTGAATGTTTTTCGATTAGCAATTCTTGTTGAGATAACATTATATTTGGTGTATGTTCATGCGACAATGAAATACTTCAACGAATTTGTATTTCTATAGCTATTGAATCTACTACCATTCAATTACAAAAATCATTAAACAAATATGTCGTTTCCGAAAATAAAAACACTTCCGACATTGACATTACTCGCTAGAATAGAACACACCATGAAACATATAGACAATTATAAACTGTAGGCAACAGCTACCATAACTTGATATTAATAGATTTTATTGTCTCAAATTTTTCAATAAAAAAAATAATAAACTAACGTTTCTCATATGAAAAAGACGAAAGGGTAGCAACTCTAATTCTGACTTGCATTCCACCAATGAGAAGGCTGTCTTATCGAAAAACCAATTCACTTAAACAACACTACGTGAAATATTAGTTCAAAGCACGCATATATATATATATATATATATACGCAATTGAACAAGAAGCTATATGTATTAAATTATACACACATTATATTTCATCGAAAACAAAATGTCTTTTATACTTTATTTATATTGCTAACATGTATCTGTATACCTTATTTTCGTAAGCAAAGTGCATTAAAATGTGCAATAATAAAGTCTTATAAAGAATGTATTAACAAAAGATGATGAATGAGACAGGAAACGTCATCGAACAGTTATCTTCGTCCTGTTCTGCATTCCGCAAGACATTTTCACTCAGTCATCCTGTTTTTACAGAACAAAGGACAATCTTTTCATTTATTTTTTTTTTGACTAAGATATTAAAATTGTCTGTATATAAGATACGATAAAAAATATGATAAACCCTCTATTTATACAATAATCATGTTAATAAATCTTATCGCATGTTTTTCAGCAGACATGAAAAATGAAAAAGATACATGATTCAAAACGTAGACAATATAAATAGAAGGACAACGAAAAAGAATAACTTTTCTTTTTATTGCTTTTTTCTTAAATTTTTTCGTGTGAACAAATAAATAATATATTATTAATTTGACTTGATAATAAACATGTTCCTCTTTGAATAAATGTCAATCTAACTGAGTTAAATAACCTTTTCGCTGAAGCACTCGTTGCTAGCATGGTATCTACTCTTCTAACTGCTATTGATATAATAGAAAATTACGACGAGACTAGAACTCCATTGAATCACGATCAATTAGATCGCTTGGGTGTTCTGTGACGCTCTCTAGAGCGAGAAAAAAAAACAATTTTTGTTCTTTTTTCCTGATATAAAGTCAAAAAGAGATTCGAGAATAAAAGAATAAATCATCGAGAAAACAAACTATTATTTTATTAATCAAAATGTACTGCGTACATTCTGTTGTTCTGTGCAAAATGTAAAACAGCGTATATATCGAAAGTAGCAGATATTCTGTATATTTTCCTTTTGTTTGGTGCATATATTATTAGACACATTGTATATTAGATTTCTTTGTTTTTCATCAAAACTCACTTTTTTAATAGACTTTTGTCTTGAACAGAGAAGAATATCGCACGCCATCTATATTTATTTTTGATACAAACAGTCTAAAATAAAATCTTTTTTTATTTAAATTTGATATTTTCATTTTGAAAATAATCTTTTTTAAATTATTTTAATCTTTTATTTCAGTCATCATGGTAAAGGTCTAATCACCATCTGTCAATATGTCTTCTATAGACAACGAGAACAAAGAACATAAACATTGTATTCTGTGCCATTGGCATTGCCATTCAAATAATCGATATATCTTCTTTTTAATTTGTACGGTGAATTACTAACACCGTAAGCATGTTTTATACACATGCAATATTAACTAAACGTGGTCCATTAGCTCGTCTTTGGCTTGCTGCACATTGGGATAAAAAATTAACTAAAGCACAAATCTTTGAAACGGATATTCGTCTTAGTTGCGAATCAATTCTTGAACCATGTTTAAAATTAGCATTACGTACAAAAGGTCATTTATTACTTGGTGTTGTACGTATATATTCTCGTAAAACAAAATATTTATTAGCCGATTGTAATGAAGCATTTATTAAAATTAAAATGGCTTTTCGACCGGGTATTGTTGGAATTGACGGATCAACAAATCATCATGTAGGTCAAGATTCTGATACACGTGAAGTTTCAATTGCTGCTATAACATTACCGGAAAATTTTCATGATTTTGATTTAATTGATCTTAATATTGAGTAAGTTTATTTATAAATGAAAAAAAAACAAAAAAAGATTAATTTTATATTCAGTTATATTGATGATCCATCTCGATTTCAAATGCATCAAGCACGTGCAGAAGAAATTACACTTAAAGAAGATTTTATTAGCGTACCTATGCCACTTGATGATGATTTTGGTAAAGAAAATAAAAAAACAAAAAAGTTATAAAACTTTTTAAATATTTAATTTTTTTTTTGTTATTCCTAGGCGATGCAAATGGTCTTGATGAACCTGAATTCTTTCGTAAACTTCAACCATCACTTCATTTTAATGGACAAAATTCAAATATCGATATTGATAGTATGAAAAAAAAAAAAATTTTTAATTTTTGTTTAATTTATTTTATATTCTTTAGCTACAATTATGCGTAAAGATCAAAATATAAGTCGACCACTTGGTGATGATCCATTTGCATTAGATGGTTTTGGCGATTGTATGTTTTTTTTTTATTTTTAAATTATTAAAAAATAATTTTTTTTTTGTAGTCACCGCTCCAGCTTCGGTCATTGGTATTGGTGGTGATAATTCAAATCTTTCAAATGAAAGAGATCAATATGATCATGTTATGTCACCATTCCATCGTAAATATTTTTATTTTTAAATTGTTTATCATAAAAAGAAATATTTTTTGTTTTTCTAGAAGATGAAAATGCACCAGGTTTACCAACACTTGATGATGATCATCAAGCACCAGCTAATGAACAAAATCAAGATAATCCTATGGATATGGAAGCAGCACATATTCCAGGTGTTGATGATACAACACTTTTATCAAATGTTTCCGATGAATTTGTTTTACCACCTATTTCAGCAGCAGGTAAATGAAAAAGAGAAATTTTTATTTTTAATATAATTTTGTGAAAAACGAGTATTGAAGTATATAAGATAAAAATTTGTACTCAGCCATAGACCTTGACATACGCTAATCGGACATCATCACAGATGGCGACAGACGTTAGTGAGTAGAGCCCGCCAAGTTGGTCTCGAACTCGATGAGCTCTACCCTACACATTTCTCAAATGTGTAGGGTGCATTAGTCATCGAATACAAAAAAGTATCTTCGGAGTGACTATCCTGTTACAGTTCGAAAATTTTGGATCGGGCAGGCTCTGCTAGTCAGAGGCTGTAATAGATGTTATTGATATACGATCAATAACGGCTTGCTACACTATACAAACTACTTTCTTATTATTGAAGAATTCAGCCAAAAGCTAGTGAAGATATGTGTCCCAAAATAGACACAATGAAACAATTTTCCTGTGATTAATCACAGCAGCGGCATCGTGTTTCATATATTAATCACACTGGGATTACGCTAATAGTTTTTGTTTCTTTTTTTATTTTAAGCACAAACACCAGCGGCTCGACAAGCAGTTAAACGTAAACGAAAATTAGTTATAGATGAATTAAAAGAAATTGATAGTGGATCAATGAAAACACAATTAAGTGATACAACAGATATTGTTGGTGTACTTGAATTAGCACCACCAACACGTCGTTTAATGCATTTGAAAGAAACCGGTGGTATTGAAAAATTATTTTCATTTAGTGCAACATCAATTTTTTCTAAAACATTACAACAAGTAAAACAATCGATTGATTGCGAAAAAAAAAATTCTTTAAAAATTCTTTTTGTTATTATCTTTAGTTAATAACACGTAATATGGTAACAAAACCATTAGATCAAATGCCACCGGATAATTATCAAATTCAACATGATCTTGCTATGGAACAACTTGAACGTGAAAGAGATGATTCATCAATTGAACAAATGCGTGCTACACATCATCATTATCTTGAAGTATTAGGTCATGATCCATCATTAATAGGTACTGATGGTTTATCACCTAATCGTTCAAAAAAACGTGGTTTATCACCTGGTATGGATGATGATAATTTTGATAAACGTCAACGTTCAGATTCATTATTTTTACCACCAATGACAACATCAATGGATAATCTTATGGATGTTATACCAGGACCAATGTCACCAACACGTAAAAGTGGACGAAAAGTTCATGAACTTAATCAATTACCACCATCACCATCACGTACATCAGGCAATATGAGACGTAAAAAAGGTATGGGACATTTAACAAAAGAAAATCAAGAAGAACAAGATGATGAAGATGAAGAACATGGACAAACAACAACAGCACAAGAAGTAAATTTTTATTGATTATAATATATAAAATTTTAATATATAAAATTTTCGTTTTTTTGTTTTTCTTTCATAGGATTTTGAATCAGGTAAAAAATTAAATCGTCGTGCTAAAATTATGCTTAATGCATTTGAACGTGCCTTTGATACTGCTGATGCACTTTCATTTCATGATCATTTATCATCGGGTAATCCAAATTATCATACAAGAAAATTAACAGCACAAAAATTTTATACATTATTGGTACTTAAAAAACTTCAAGCTATTGATGTTGAACAAACTGAAGCATTTGGAGATATTGCTGTTACACCTGGTGTTAATTTTCATCAATATATAACAAGTGGTGGTAGATAAAAACAAAAGAAAAAAGAAAAAGAAATCTATATAAGGATTTACTCAATAAATCGGTGTTGTCAGATGTATATCTATATGTATTGTCAATCGTTTAAATAATTAGTTCTTCTATGTATGTGGTTTTTTTTTCTTTCCGTTCGAGTATTTTTCGATGTTTCTTTCTTTCTCTCAATGTGTGCATGTATATTGTACATATTTATTTCAATGTATTGTGTGATGACTTTCTTTTGTTTTTGAGAGAATATACTCATGTTTTGTTTGTCTTTAATTGTATGATAATATAATCATCCTTGTTTTTTGTTTTCTTTTTTTCAGAATGATTCTATAATCATTCTCTTATTTGTTTATTAATCTATATTGTTGTCTTCTAGAAATTTTCTGTGTGCACTACTTTTCTTTTTGTTTCTCATACTTCTCTTTTGTTTTTTTTTTTCTTTCTTTTTTTTTTTCTTTGTTTCTGTGTTTTTGTTAATTGTGTATTCGTTGCTCTAGTCGAATCTATCATGTTGATATGGTGATCGATGATGATGCTTATAAATTAGAAGACAACTCTAAATAAAATTCAATCAAATTTTTAATTGATGATTTTGATATATGACAATGCGAGATTGGAATTTAATGTACTGATCTTCTTTGACACAATATGAAATCTTATGGAATTGAGTATTTGTATTATTATACCAGCTGTAATCGAATTATTGATTGTCACAAGAACGAATTCTGATTGTTTCATTTTTCTATTTAATAATGATTCTAGCATGAATGTTATGATCAACAAAGTTATGACCATTGCTTCCAGAGAGGTTTTCTTTTAGTCTTATTAATTGATTTGCATTTCTTCGACAATCGTTTGAAAGATTTAACAACAAGCCAGGTGTTGACCTTCACAAGAAATGATTGATGTCGATTATTACGTCTTTAAAGAAAACAAAGAATAATCACATACCTATAAGTAGTAATTAGCGGAATCAATCGTTTTTTATTTTGGTTTCGTGTTTAGTAATACATGTACTAGCAAAAAATGCGATATCATTTTCTAGCAGTGTCAATGCGCTTGAGACATCTTGGAGATTCATTACTTTTTTAAATTTATTAATACCTTGTCTATTCTGTACATTTACATGTTCGACAACTCTGTTGTTTACGAAAAAAAAGGATTTGTTTTACTAGCAAAATTGTAACAGCAAATATTGAAATGATCGTTACTCACTAACTTTCATATAAACTTATAGAACACATGAGTCGTGAGAAGATGACATTTGTTGCAGGCCTTATATGACCTTAAAAGATATCACTCCCAATGAAAAAGTGTTAGTCTTGGTGTGAGACCGGGACCATCTTGTCCATATCGATCTATGAGACTATATCACTGAGTTTTTTTTTCTGTTCAATAAATGTGCATGAAGTGTACTATTCTATTTAGAGTGGGGGGGGGGGGGGGGTATGTTTTCTTCACTCTGACCTACTCACAGACACCTGAAAAAAGATGTATATGAAACATACATGATTTGAATTAATTTGTTCATTAAGGTTCTACTCGTTTTTCAACTTTGCTCTTTGTTAAAAAGCACGTTGTTTTTTATGAATATAAATTCTATAAATGAAATAAACATATTGATTTGTTTATCATCAACTAAATGATAATATGTATTGTTTTGACATTTGAATAGAGCTACATATCTATCTTTTGATCCTTTTATATTTTGACATATTTATCTGTCGACATTTTTCTTTTCGATCAAAATAGATTTCACACCTTCTAAATATAAACTTGCTTATAATTATCTACAATAACATGCAATGGTTAAAATCAAGATAATTATCAATATCCTTGTTAGTGATAATGGTAGCTACTATCATCTTCAGTAAATAAGAAAATATTCCGTTGTTGTTATTTCTCAACTTATACTTTGTCAGTCAAGGACATTTAAAAAAAAACACTGTTTTTGCGAAGAGAAAATCAGACAAATGTATATGTAGTGATTGTGACGATTATTGATCGTTACACTTCACTTCACTTGTGTTCTTTTCTCAATAAGACTTGTTTTTCATAGCGTTGACCTTGACGATATGTGTTTTGCAATCTCTTCTCTTGTGTGACTAATATATAAGTATGCGTTTGTACCGATATAGATACGACTGAGTGATGAACTAGCTCAATAAACACCATTATCGAGGGTAACAATAGAGCTACACCACCAATGTGTCACAGTGATTTTTTTGAAGAAATATTTTTTCTAGATAGTTACCATCATCGACAAATAATCAATATAGTTTCTTTCAATCTGATAAGTCTGTTTCTGAATTATGATCGCGACAATATCCATATTGTGAGATAAATCCTATTTGATATAGAAGCGATTACACTCATTTTAGCATTCAAAATACAGATACGATTTATAATCAGATTGGTGCTCTTGTTTAGTAGAATGTCATCGATAGTCACATGTTCGATATCAAACAATCAATTTTCATCGCTTCCTAAGGTGTACACTAAGTCAATAAACTAACAGGTGTACTTTTTTTTGAAGTTATACTCTCAGCCATGTTTGCATGTATACCAAATGCTTCATTAACAACGAAGCTGAATGGCAAAACGACTTGTTTTGTCCATCCAGATTGGTTATATACTGAAGAGAATTTCACGCGTATGAAATCGAGAGTTAAAACAACAGAATCATCTTCAATCGAAGGATAAAATATTTTAATTACTAATTCACGTTCTCAATTCATTTGCAAATTCCGTTCAACTGGTATAGATGTTCGAGAAAGTCTTACCATCAATATAGAACAGTTTTACTCTGAAGATCGTGCTGTATATCAGTTATAACTATATACTGAAAAATAAATGCAATTCTGTCAATGCAACCAAATCTATTTTGATTCTCAATACCTGATCTTCCATACTTTCGAGCATCACCAATAATACAGATCAATCAAAAAGAAGATTTGTTTTTTATAAACGACGTTTCGATAAATTTATTATCATTATCAAATTTCATCCCTTTAAACCTACAAGTAACGAAAATAAGATATAATTATTATTGGAAAATTACAAAAGCACAAATATGTTCACAACAATATTATGAGATATATTAAAATATACATGCTGAAATATGCTATCTATTGTTGAGAGTTCATGATTGATTTTAGAGAAAAATTCTTATTACCATTGTAATTCGAAAAAATAATCAACAGTATCTCTGACAATCTACATGTATATTGAGATAACTTTAATATTTGTTATTAAAATTCGTAATAATAATATAGTAGATCATATTCACCATCAATCATGAAGAGTAAGAGATTTTTTCACATGATATTATAGGATAAGCTTATGGTGTTTATTAATCATACATATAACAAGTGAGGCAAGCGTACATTTTTTCTACCGCTGTTCTTCTACAAAGATCATCTTTTGTCAACAGGACATAAAAAGATTCAATTCTATTTTAGAACGTAACTATTTAGTAAAACTAGTTGACACAGTAATTGAAATATAGTTGTGAAACAATGTTTGATTGTTATTAATTCTATTATCTGATCCATGTTCTATGTGCATCTAATAATTCATCAGTCTAAACGAATTGGCTACATAATTTAATTCAAATAGAATGAATTAGTTACAAATTTTAGAGTAGTCTGAACTGAGATGGATTGATCGTACATTCTCAAAAAGATGACTATTCATGGCATACATAGCTGTCACTTCAAACTAGTCCCGAGTGCCATTGGAGACATTTCGAACTAGTCAAGTTACTTGTCTGTAGCTGGTTCTTAATAGTCCAGCAGATGATGAAGCGTGACTCTGTTATCTAGACTGTCTAAACTGACGTTCAGATAAGCACCAGGCGTAACCACTGTGACGGCTGTGATAGTTGCTAATTTTTCTTAGGAGTTCTTGACCGTGAGTAGACTTTGGTTACAAAGAGAATAGCCCCATATCCTGTATTTCTGTTAACTGGTTAGATATTCTACAAAACAAATGACCTCTTTTTTTTGCATAGATTCGAAATTTGCAACTACTGTGATATGCAATAAGTGAGATGCAAAATCACACATAAAATAATCATAAATTATATTTTGAACAATGAGAATGTTAAAATAAAGTCAAAGTTTAGATGTATGATCCTTCTTGTTTTGTTTTGAGAGGTGAACAAAAATGTCTTTGTTGGAAATTAATTGTAGTTGATCTCTCTTAGACAACATCTTTCGAGTTGTCTATTATTCGTTCCATAAGATAAATTTTGTTTTCTTCCCTTTTACTTCAACATATTTTCACCGCTTTTACTTATAGAATCAATATACTAGGCCTTCATCAATAAAACATATAGTTTACGGAAGGAGGTTCTAACAGACTAAAACTATGTTCAGTGGCTATCGTGTTCATGATTAAAAAAACAGTCACGTTAGGCACTAGTCAGGATATTCATCAGATATCGGCCAATGGTAGGTCGAATATTCGAATTTATTATTCATCTTTCATTTTTATGATTTTGCTGTTCTACTAACTAGTCTGAAAGGAATTAATAGACTGAATATAACTGGGTGAAAAGACACTCTAAGCTAATCTAGTCGTAGTTGTAGGACTTTTTTTTCCTAACGATGAATAGATCTGACGAGTATTACGGACATATTGAACAAGTCATTTAAACTGTCTTCACTTATTCTTTGCTTATATGGATGATCATCAGTGATCTTTACAGAAAAATTACATTAATATTCATATTGGCACGACCTTTGAAATACTTAAATGTCTATGGCTTTAGATTTTGTATTCATGGAAAGATTTGTAATCGTAAGAAGCTGATTTTTTTTCCTATACAATACATTACTGAAACATGTTCATTTTGAACTGAACGAAATACACGAAAATATTTGTATCAGAGCTCCGCGTGTGACGGGATGGAATGGAACGAAAAATTTTTCATCCCATCTCATTCATACCATGGGACTTCACACTTGTCAAATGTTTTTTTTTCTATGTAACTATAAAATGATGAGATACTGTGAAAAAGAAATGGACTCTAGAGAGTATAAGATTGCGGTATTTTTTGGAAGAGAAAAACAACGATTATAGCATACATTCACTCTTGAGATTCAAACTCACAAATATTATTCAAATGCTGTGTGAGACAACATATATGAACGCTTTGTTGAAATCAGAAAAAAAAGATCTTTTTTATGAAAGAGAAATATTACTATTTCATGTATAAAAAATCTGAAGTTATACAAGATCAATCATATTTTGATTAATAAGAATATATTTATTATTAATCTCTTGTTTAGTTCATTTTAAATGATGGCAAAATTTATTTCTTTTTTATTTAAAAAAGACATATCATTGGGAACATTGTTCACGTTTAATGCAAGGACTACCAGTGCTATTATCTTTACGAACACAATCAGTAGACTGACAAAAACAACCGCGAACACATTGTTCAGTACAGACTTGTGGTACATAATTGCAAGTTTCAACACAAGCTGAACCACAATCTGTATATTGTTCATTATCACCTGTGCAACATTTTTCCTGCTGAACGCATTGATTATTATTGGCGCGAAAGTAACCTTTTTTGCAGAAACAACCAGATTTGCATATTGCTATGCATGCTTGAGGTTCTTTTGGAAGTGGATATGAAAAATCATTACATGTAGGTGGACATGCTGAACCACATTGTTGATATTCTTCATTATCTCCACATTGTGGAACATCTGTTTTGTTACAGTCTTCACGTTTGACACACGGACTACTAGTGTCATTTGACTGACGAACATAACCATCTTGACAGAAACAACCGAAACGACACATAAATGAACATATGGTCGGTTTGTAATCGCATGTTTCGATACAAACTGAACCGCATGTGTATTGTTCATTGTTGCCACATACTGGAGCCGGAGGCGAATCTAAGGTATATATAGAGAAACAGGAGTAGGAATATGAACAAAAGATTTTAAATTCATTTTACTTCCTTGGATGATAGTCGTTAGTAATAGCAGAAAAGTTGTATACAATATTGAATGCATAATACCTTACTTGCGTTAGACGAAAAATTAAATTATGAAGAGGTACGCATTGCATATATATATAGGTACACATTTGTAATACAAAATATTTACACTTGTAGATTATTTATTGACATAAGAAAAGATGAAGAGAAGCTTAATTTTCAAGAGATTGAATAATCTTAATCCTTCTATAGCACGAATATAAACTGAAAATAATATTTGTTAAGAAAAAACAATATTTATATAGGTATAAAATGATAAGATACCGTTACGGATACCTTGAATTTCGCGGTACTGACTTTTGCTCTTGACTTTTGGCAATTATTGAAAGTTTTTAATAGCGTGGATGTAGGTAGAGCGAATATTCACATCTACATCCACACCTGGAATTCACGCTTGCCATCGTTACAAATCGTTTAATATAAAATCTAACAAAGCAAGATTTAAATATGCTTATTAATTATTTATGCACTACGAGTAAACATATTTCATCTCTTCATGAATAACAGATTATTTGTTTTCATACAAATTAGATATCACTATATCATGTATGAAAGTCTAAAGTTATAACCGATATATTAATATTTTCGTCACAAAGAACATTTTTATAATCAGTTGTTTATTTATTTTAACTTAAACAACGAGAAGTGTTTCAATATATTGTTATTATATGTTTAATGGATATCATTTTGGACATTGATCGCGTTTAATGCAAGGACTAGCAGTGCTGTTATCTTTACGAACATAATCAGTAGACTGACAAAAATAACCGCGAACACATTGGTCAGTACAGAATTGTGGTACATAATTACAAGTTTCAACACAAGCTGAACCACAATCTGTATATTGTTCATTATCACCTGTGCAACATTTTTCCTGCTGAACGCATTGATTATTATTGGCGCGAAAGTAACCTTTTTTGCAGAAACAACCAGGTTTGCACATTGCTATGCATGCTTGAGGTTCTTTTGGAAGTGGATATGAAAAATCATTACATGTAGGTGGACATGCTGAACCACATTGTTGATATTCTTCATTTTCTCCACATTTTGGACTGTTTTCTTTTGTCGGACAATTCCTAAGCATAATACAAGGACTTCTACTTTCGTTAGATCGACGCACATATCCAGACTTGCAAAAGCAACCATATTGACAAACCATCGTATAAATTTTAGGTTTATAATCACATGTTTCAATAAAACTTGGCCCACACATATATTTTTCATTAGTACCACATCGTACGTCTAAAAAAAAAGCAATTCTTAACAAGAAATTGAAATTTAATTTTCCAATATTTTTTAACTATTTATTGTTGAGTCAACATAGATTGATAGAAATAACATGACGTAAATTTGTGAAAATAAAGCCATCGTTATTTTTTTTTACTTTTCTTCGATCAACAATAAACTGGATGAATGAATAATTTTATTTCGTATATATTTATGCGCATATCATTATACTGTTTTTGTATACTTTTACGATGCAAAAGAAAGTAAACAATAGAACCATGCTATAAAATAAATCATTTAATATTTCTTAGCTATTAAGCCATGTTTGGTAGCTTGAAAAGAATTTTTATATAATTATGTTGACACATAATTTTCGATCTTTTTTTTTCAAGAACAAATGAAAAATGGATATTTAATAATAATTATCAGTAATTTCTTTCTCTTCATGAGTGCATTGGTCTATTCATGCTATTTATACAAAACGAAAAGAAAAATGTAGTTATTATCAAACAATCTGTTGTGTTATTAGTTAGAAGAATTTTTAATGCTCGTATGGAGAGAGTCTATACGAAAAGAAATCCAAAAAGAATAGCATAATTTTTTGTTGTTGACTCGATTGTATTTTAGTACTGTAGAAAATTAGTTCAAATTATAAAAAAAATTTTCTCCTGCCTTTTAAATTGACTGCTTCCGGTAGTAATACAACAGTTGTATTTAATAATGCAAAATAATAAAAAGAGACTGTCAAAACAGGCTAACAAACATCGTCATTAATACAAAATAATTTAAAATTTTCCCAGTTACTGCTTCATATCTGAATAGATGTCTGGCATCTAAATGATTCAAAAGAACTGATCAAATAATTGATGATCAACTCATTTTATGTGAGTAGATTTATTCACGAGCTTTTTATATGAATGGAATCCAACCATGGAAACTTTTACTTCATCTCTAAGGCATTATAACATTCTATTTCATTCTATATTTCAGTGTTGGGTAACTCCGGAGTTAACTCCCGTAGCAACAAGGAATTTTTGGTACAACTCCATAGCGACCGTCGGAGTTGTAGACCGTTCTACTATCGTCCATTTAAGCACAATGTTGTAACTCCAATTTTTGTCTCACGACTTCGACCTAACTCCATCGGAGTTGAGTGGAAAAAGCCGGAGTTGCCCAACACTGCTATATTTTTAAAGCTGACTGTCAATATTGTGACTGTGCAGTCCTTATAGAAATAACATAGTTAATGATTAGACCCCGCTCATATAAAAACACCGAAACGATTGAAACCAGCTCAGTTAATCGATATGGCGTTGTCAAACACCTATGTCTAAATAAATCCTTTTTGATCTTTCAAAGCTCATTTATTCAAAGTATGATATTGTACTATTATGAGACAGGAAAGAATTTTATTTTAGCTAAGATATAAGACTCAATCTTATTACTCACTCTCATTCCTTAACCTTGACACGATCACTCGGAGTTCGCGCAGAGCCCAGGTCATTATCACACTGTTATAAGTATACAATACAGGATAAAGTCGTTCATCTTCCAGGTATACTCTACTGAAGATTAGCAGACGATGTTGATAATATCTGCCAGTTACGCTCAACTATTAACTTAATACTGTAGAGATATCGTATTTTTATCGTAATTATTAACAGAATGCGACTATTTCTTGATCTATTCTACATACTTCATTTTACTCTTCTTGCTTCTGTTATAAAGTTAATTTTCAAGAGTCTAAGGTAAATTTCATATAGTTTTGTAGAGCGTCAAAAGATGCACCTTTTGGTAAAAAAAGTTTGATTATAAAGTACTAGCAAGGCTTCGAAAAGTTCATGACAATGTTGCTCAGAAAACATCATTTTTTGATATTTTCGTAAAAATGTACGTATCGGGTTTTTAATGAAAAGATTAATTATATTCGGGAAAGTCATTGAAAATATGATCAAATCGTCATGTCTTAATTTTTTTCTTTTGCTGATAAGATTAAAAGAATAAATAAATACTTGGTTTGAAATAGTTCATATCGTACCATTCCTTAATTATAACTCAGAAGTATTCATTAAACTCAAGATTTTACTAATGATATGTTACGAAACAGTGATTCTGAATCAATTGAATATAGCAGACATATTTTCTGTAGAAAACAATAAGTATCTGTAATCATAATGTGAATATTATTAGAATGAATTTCTAGAAATTTGCTCCAAATGATTTACATTTTCATGCTTCTATTGCATCATTATTTCATTTGTATTCAATAGATATTGGCCTTAATTTTCCTAATGACTTCATATTGATAATACATAATTAGTTATCAATCACATGATTACTAAAGTACTGCATGAATGCAATTCTTCGTACCCATACTTGATGCGAACAGGAATTATTTATCCTTACTCATTAATTTTGTACCAGTACCCAAGTATGGGTATCCAGATTGACTAATACAAGAAGAATGAAATTTCCAGTATCTCCAATTCCTTTATATATATTATGATTGATAGTTGAAGTAGTATGTTTTTATTTCAGTTTGTTTTATTGTAATTAAATCAAAGTTCTATCAAGTAAATCATTACTTATCTTTGTTAGTATAATTCTATTACTTTTGTATTAGTATCATTGATGATAATTTTTTTTATTAATGTATCAGTCTTACAAAAGAAGATTTGTTTGTATGATAAATTTGTCACAAATAAAAATTTATTTTTTCGAAAATTTTTCTTATTTCTACTTTTGATCGAACATAAACTATTGATTTCATTCTGTTTTCGAAATATGAGAGTACCACCATGTCGTTGTCGCTAAATATTGGTGTTTCATCTTCATAGCTATTAGATTGTAGTGCATAACGAGATATTCTAGTAATTTGCTTAATTTTATACTGTAAAAATTGGAGATTTGATAAATTAAGATATCGCCCTTCCCCCCTCCCTCTCCCCACAGAAATATCATTTCTGTCATGTCAAACTCTCATTAAAAGTGTCCCAAAATGATCCCTGGTAGAATTAGCCCTATAAAACTTGTTTGCATTGCGTTCTGACTTATTGAAATAGTCAATGACTATTATACGCATATTATATTGGGTTGTTGAGAATGACAAGCTCTTTTTATCTATCAATCCGAAAATCGATCAGACTAATATTCATCTGACTCTATAGCAGTTTTCAAGTGATTTAAAATGGTATAAAAACATTGAAGAAAAAGCATTGGCTATGCAAAGAAATCCCAAAGAGACTATTCTCGAGACCTGATTTTATGTTTTGTTTTTGACTGATATTTGCTAGATTTCGATTAGTAAAATACGATTTTTATAATAACTAATATTTTCTGTTTTTGTCGAAAAATTTAAATAGTAATGCATGATTCCAAACGCCTCGATAATAGAGAATAATAAGATCATGAAAAAAAAAGACTAGATAAATATAGTTTAAATTAACTGCCTTTCTATTTGTTCTTCTTGTAATCATCAAGTCTTTCCTAGAGTATTCACATGTCGATAATAAACTAGTAATGACTTTGTGTGTTATATTTATTTTATTAATTGAGAGTCACACGGATCCCAGATGGACAAGACATAGACAGACCTACAGATAATCGGGATTGGATTAAATTTTCAAATAAACTAACTCAACTTCTTTTCTTTAATTGCTCATTAGACTAAAAACATAAAAGAAAATTCATTTGATGAATTCAAAAATTAATTTCACTTAATAAGTATCGATCCTCTTCCAAAATCAATCTATATCAGTAATTATATACACACGCACATATATATATATATATTGCTTTGTTTTGTTTATAAACAAGACGACAAAACTACAACATAAACAAGAAAAAAAAAAGATCAAAATCTGTGTATTTGGAAGAAACAAATAACACAGATGCATATAGTTCAATGTACAGATACAAAAATCGACGAAAACAAAAAGTTTATTTTTAATAAGCTGAAGATGCAATTGTTGGAGCAATATTTACTTTTCCCATACGTTTTTTTCCTTGATAAATTATTTTTCCTGATGCAACCATATCAATTGCTTTCGGATATAATTGTTGTTCAAGTATACGTAAACGATTTTCTAATTGAATTTCATTTTCAATTGGTGTTACATGAATACTTTCTTGTGCAATAATTGGTCCATCATTATCTGTATCAGATTCAGCAATAAAATGAACTGTAACACCTGTTATACGAACACCAGCTTGTAATGCATCACGTATTGGTGATGTACTATGACGAAATGCTGGTAATAATGATGGATATATATTTAATAATCGACCACGCCATGCTTGAATAAATGATGGTGATAAACGACATGCATAACGATCAAGTATAACTAATTCACAGCCATGTAATTGTAATTCATCATCTATTTTTTGATCCTTTAAAAAAATAGATTAAGAAACTAAATGATTTGCTCAAATAGAAAATGAATATTTACTAAATCATAATTTCTTGCAGCATATTTTTTTGGTTGAATTACTTTTGTTACAACAGATGGATATAATTCATTAACACGAGCTATATCTGATAGACTAGCTAATGTTGAAAGGACAAGAACAATTTCAAATGCACATTCAATTGTTGAAGTTGAATATGCAAGAAGAGAAAGTAATGAAGTATCTAAAAAAAAAACAAAAGGAAATAATTAAAACGATCCTTGTTTCTATGTTTTAGTTTTGTTTTTTAAATACCATTTGTTGAAATAAGTACAGCACAACGTGTTTTATCATTTGCAATAGGTTGTTTCATTCGATCTTTAATAATAAGTGGAGTATCATTTGATGTAAGACATGGTTTTGGATATTTAAATAAAATATTTTTTAATTGAATTGTACGTGATCGTGATT